TACCAATGGGTCGTAATAGATTACAAACGGCACTGTACGCTGACGACATCTGCTTGTACAAGAGCAATCACTCGGCCGATCGAGCAGCCAGAAGCCTGGACATCCATATTAACAGGAGATTAATCCCCTATCTAGCCAAGAACAAAAAAACAGAGAGCATGCTCATAACAAAGAGATGGTCCCGGGGCATACAGCGACCCCTAAATATTGAAAACACTGAAATTACGACATGCAAGAGCATGAAATACCTAGGTTTTGTGCTAGATGGGGGCTTGACCTTCGATCTCCACATTAAGGTAGAGTAGCCAAAAATCAGGCTGCAATAAGAACGCTATACCCCCTACTAAACAGGAGAAGTAGGGTAACTAAAGAAAATAAACTTCTACTATATAAAACAATTTTAAGACCTATCATGACTTATGGATGTCCAGTCTTTTGTTCAATGGCCAATTCCCACTATAAAAAACTCCAACTATGTCAAAACAGATGTCTTCGGCTAGCTCTGGGGTATAACCGTTATGCCAGAATTGAAGAAATGCACAGACAGACACAAATACCACTAATCAAAGACTATATTCTCAATACAGCCGAACATTTCTACAAGCGGTGTCTTCCTGATAATGTAAGGGATGAAATCCTCAGCATCTATCGGGGAGACAACGTGCGTAGAAAACACGGCTGTATTCACGCTAAACTGGACATATACAGAAACAGACAATAACATCCTCCTTAACGGTCCGCTTGCTTTCAAAATATCTTTATTATCTATTTACATATATACATATCATTTAACTATTAGAATATAACATAATATCTCAGATTTCTTCCTATCCTGGGAGTGAGGAAGTGTTCTAAGATCATGACCGATGTCTTGGCCGTGTTCATACCCTTTAGTTAATTTAAATTTAGATTTTATAGTGTTCTCTCCTTGCTTGTTAGCATTATAAGACAGTTTGGGCTACATGACTAGAGTCGATAATGGTTTATGGAGGAGTTTTTGTCATGATTTTAATTCTGTCTGTCATCCCTGAAAAACTGTTAAAAAAAACAGGGTTGTCCTTGTATGTGAGTGTGTCTCATCCTAGTTTACGTACATGAGAAAGACAAATCTATAGACTACACAGTAAAGCCCCCATTCAATATTGAGTTTGCAGCGCAAACCACAATTTCAGTTCAGTTTCAAAATCATTTATTTCTATTTACATATTTACAGAGTTTAAATAATATAATAAATACATATTACAGGGGGATTTCTTCCTGAAGGCTTCCTGGAAGTATTCCTCTTCTGTGATGATCCCAACAGGACCATGACCGATGTTGTGGCCTCGCGATTTATTAATTATCTATTTTTGTTATGATTTTTGTGATATCTCCTTGTTAAAAACATTATACATCAGTTTTGGCTACTAGCTAGATCGGTACTTGAAAATGATAGAGTTTTTGTCTGATTTTAGTTATGTCTGTCTTCCCTGAAAAACAATATGAAAAAACAGGGTTGTCCTTGTATGTGAGTATGTCTCGTTTTAGTTTACGTACGTGAGAAAGCCAAATCAATAGACTACACAGTAAGGTCCCAGTTCGATATCGAATTCGAGGCGATAGCCGCAAATTCAGCATCGCATAGTGACGTCACCGTGCAGTCTTCCGTCCGACTAGAGTTGATAGCTAGTCGGCTTCGGGATTTGGCTGTTCAGTGTAATTCTCGCTGCTGTGAGTCAGTTAGTAGCAGCGCCCAGTCCACGTCCTGTCGGTAGCTGAAGGCTGTATTTAGTCTCGTTTATAAATTTTGAGTGCTTTATGCAAACATCCGTGAACCCTGTTTGCGCCGTCATTATGATGCATGGAGAGTATATCCTCCTTTAGCGTGTCTGGTAGGCAATTTTTATAGAATTTTTCGGCTAATCTTAAGATGTGATCTTTGACAGGCTCCATTGATGTTTGCATATGCATGTCTTGTATTCTAGCATAGCGGTTATACCCCAACGCCAGCCTCAGACACTTGTTCTGCATTATTTGAATTTTCTTAAAGTGCGTGTCAGCCATTGAACAGAAGACTGGACTTCCATACGTTAAGATAGGCCTAAGTACTTGTTTATACAGAAGAAGTTTGTTTTCGATTGAAACCCCACTTCTTCTGTGTAACATCGGGTACAGTGATTTGAGAGCTCCGGTCGTTTTAGCAATTCTATCTTTGACGTGTTTTTCGAATGTTAGCCTCCTATCGAGAATAAAACCTAGATATTTAATTGAATTCTTGGTATCTATTGTTTTGTCTTGGACTTTTAATTTAGTGAATATTCTATTCGAGACTTTCCTTGTTAGCAACACACTTTCAGTCTTGCTGGGATTAATTGCTATCTTATTTTCTTCCAGATAGGGGACTAACACTCTGTTAACATGGATGTCCAGTCTTCTGGCGGCTATTTCTGCAGAATCAGATGATTTAAAAACACAAGTATCGTCAGCGTACAGGGCCGTCTGTACACCATTATGTCCCATTGGCATGTCATGGGTCATAATCGTGTACAGATGCGGCGCCAGTACCGAACCTTGAGGTACCCCCGCCAGTGCTGTGTAAGGTCCTTTAAGCGTGTTGTTTATTTTAACGTGAAATTGTCTGTTGTGTAAGTACGTTTGTATTGTTTTTACAATGTAAACGGGGTAGTCATTCATAAATATTTTGTGTATTAACCCGTCAGTCCAGACGGTGTCAAATGCCTTTGCAGCATCCAGTGCCACTAAAACTGTCTGTTTCCCCGTGTTAAAGCCCTTGTAAACATGATGTGCAATTCTGATAATTTGTGACACTGTGCTGTGGCCGGCTTTGAATCCGTACTGTTCTGACGGGATAATGTTCTTGTCTTGTTCGTACGTTAGTAGTCTGTTCAGTATTACTTTGTCGGTTATTTTGGCCAAGCCATTTAATAAGGAGATGGGGCGATAGCTTCCTATTTCCCCTCTGTTTTTGCCAGCTTTGTAGATAGGGACTACGTTAGCCATTTTGAGTAGTTCTGGATAGGTTTGTAATTTTAAAATTGCGTTTATTAAATAGTGCAGCTGCACCACAGCTTTTTTAGAGAGATTTTTAAGTAATTTGTTGTGTATGCCATCGGGTCCTGGAGCCCTTTTACTGCGAGTTCTTTTGATGATTTCCGCAACTTCCTTAGGGGTCGTTAGCGATGCTTGGGGGACTATTTGGGTAGGTAGCTCCTTTATTTGGGCAACTAGATCTTGAATTTCCTGTTGTTTAGGACTATTAACTTGGTTATTAACGAAATTCCCCTGAAAGAATTCACCGAACGCACTCCCCTTTTGTTCGTCGGTCGAGTACATGTTGTTATTATGTCTCAGTGTGGGTAGCTGCGCGAAGGGTTTCTGAAACCTTCTCACAATTTTCCACACTGAGTTGTCTTGCACGTTGATTGATTCCAGGGTTTTACGCCAATTATCGTTTCTGAATTCTATAATTTTATTGTTAATGGCTTTACCGATGTCATGAAGTCTAGCCCTGTCATCAACCATCCTATGCGTCTGCCAGCGTCGTCTCAAGTAGTTTTTATTGTCAATTAAATCTAATATCTCTTGAGGGAAGTTGTCTTTGTAGGGCTTGTGTTTTATTATTTTCGTGGATAGATTTCTAGCCTCAATTATGTTGTTAGTTAATTTTGTGAATTCTTCCTCAAGAGAGTTAGTGTCGGTGATGTTATTGTTGATGGAGATTTTTCTGTCAAGTGTTTTTCTGAATTTAGTCCAGTCCGTAGAGTTATAGTCATAATACTGGCCCTGTAACCTGGGTACCAGTCTCGTGGTTTTGATCTCCAGGTATACAGGGTCGTGATCAGAGGTCAAAGTTTTGATCGTTCTTACATTGTCAATGTTTGGAAGGTTTTTAGCAACGGCTAGATCCAGGGTACTAGGTGTGTGGTCGGCATTGAAAGGGAAGTGCGTGGGGTCTTCGGAGTAGTGCACGATGAGGTCATTGTCATCGGCAAACTCTTTCAGGTTCTTACCACTTTTGTTGTGAACTGTACGATAGGCGTCCCATTCGGGATGCTTGCAATTTAGGTCTCCCAGTAAAAGAACTCTATTACCCGATGACATAATTGAGTTTAATTCTATTTTATTAAAAATATTACTGGGTGGATTGTACACCCCAACAAAAATTATATTGTTTATTTTGATTATTAGATGTTCCTGCGTTATATTTAGTTGTTTCATTTGTTCATAATGAATTTTATTTTTTATTAAGAAAGCTACCCCACCCCCTCTTTGGTCTATTCTATCTGATCTTATGATGTCATAGTCTTGTACTTTAATGTTGTCAGTCATTTTAAAGTTTGTCTCAGATAGAAATATGAAGTCGAATTTATATTTATGAATGAAACTGCGTACCAAAGGTGTCTTATTACGCATCCCGTTAGCATTGTAAAAACAAATTTTGAGTTTTTGTCGGTCTCGTTCAATGAGTTCAGTTCCTGAGCGTGAAATGAACATCAACAGTACTCATGAACGAGTTGTATGTTTCTATTATTTCTTGTCCTGTTTTACACGTTTTAAGTTTTGCGTTAAGAGAGCGTACCGCTCTAGTTAGCTCACCTATATTAATTATTCTGTTGAGTTCCGCGAATTCATTATTGAGTGCACTAAAATCGTCCATGGCCATGTTGGAATTGTTGTTAGTGGGTCTATTTGCTGTTGGCACGTTATCGTTAGTGCTTCTTGTCGGCAATGCTGGGAAATCTTCTAGTTTTCTCGCATTGTTTTGCTTCCTGGCCTCCCATTGGTTAGTCGTAGGCTGAGGGGCGGGGACATATTTACGTTGCTGCTGCTGTTGTGGGCGTCTCTCTTCCATTCTGCTAAGCCTATCGATGTAGCTTTTGCATTTAGAATAGTTGGCAGGGTGATCACCCCCGCAGTTTACACAAGTTGCCAGCGTTTCTCTAGTTTTTTCGCATGTTCTTGTGAGGTGATCCCCTGCACATTTTAGACACTTCGGCGGCCTACCGCAATTGGCTGTCGCATGTCCCAACTGTTGGCATTGGTGACACTGGATTATCTGCTTTGTCGTTTTTCTGAGCTCCCACGTAACTCTTGTATGGAGTACCCTTTTTACATTTTTATTCAGATAATCCAGCGTCAGTGCCGGATCAGTTACAATAAGGAATAGGGGACGTTCCTTGGTTCTCATTTGGTAAATTTCCCTCGCTAGGATTTCGTGATCATCCTCTAGGTTCTCTTTCAGGTCGTTTATTTTTGTCCCGTCTCCAAGTCCCCGTAATACGAAGGCGTGGGTCTTGTCGTCCCTAGCCGTGTAAGTGTGGTACGGTAGCTTCTCATTTTTCATATTTGTGATTATATTAGCGTGGTCTTCTTTTTTATCTACGAACAGTATGGTGGTATAGTTCGTGTGTTTTACCGAGAAGTCCCCTTTGACCAACCCTTGTATGTCTTTGATAAGTACATTGTGGTTCGCTGTTTTGCCATCAATGACAATTGGGGGCATAGATCTTTTGTTATTATTTTCAGCTACTGTCGTTGTTTTCTTTGTTGACGTTGTGGCCTTAGAAGAATTTTCTACAGCATTATTAACGACTATTTCTGTCGATTTTCTTACGGGTTCATGTTCTTCTGCTATGAACGGTTTAAATTTGGCTCCTTTTTTTCTTTTTTTTATAATTTTCCCTATCTCATCGTCATTGTCCGTGTCCGATTCGTCGGTAAGGACATGATATTTGTTTTGAGTGGGAGTTAATGTCTTCTTAGCTTTCTCTCTAACCAGTTTCTGAAAATTCGAGCTGAATTTTCTCGGTATCTCGAATGGAGTGTCATTCTGTTTGCTAATCATTTCTATGTCTGGGAAATGTTCATTTGTAGGTCTATCTGTGCCGGATCTTAATGGGAATCGGCTGTTTGGCGATCGTGGCAGATTTGCTTCATTTTCCGAGAAGGGTAGCTCTTCTTCTGACGTAGTTTGCCTGTTTGGGTCAAAATCGAGTATGTTGGAGGCTATTGTACTCGGTACATCCGTGTTCATGACCGTGATTTTGATTCTAGGGTCGCTATTGATTCTTCTTCTTTGCTCAACGTACTGAGGGATAGTGAGTGTGTGTGGAATCGGATTGAATGGGGGTGCTGGAGGGATTTGAGGATTATTTACATTGGATTGTTGAGACTGTTCCGCTGTTGGTGTGGGGAAATACCCAGGCGAGGAGCTACTCAGTTCACCCCCGTTGTGGGTACCACTCACACTTCCAGCGTTGTTCGAAATTGGTGTAGCTTTTGGGCCAAAATCTAGGTTTCTGGCTGCTACGTTAGTGGGCATATTCAGGGTTTTGAATTGACCTTGTGGTGTGGATTCTCTCTGATATTCTGAGTAGAATTTGGCCAAGTCTTTGTCTAATTCTCCAGGTTCTTTCTGTGGGACTACTGTGGAGTTTAAGTCACTCATCTCGCTATCATTGCTTTCAATAGAGTCTGTGGATTTTTCCAGAACGTCAATGAGGTTTTCGACGGTTTTGTAAGCGTTAGCGTCGCTATTGGGGCTATTTGGAGCCGTACTTAAGTTTTCCTGGGAGGAATGGTATTCCATATCCTCAGAGCCATCCGCAGAGGGCTTTCTGGGGGGTCTTTTAGTCGAAGATCCTGCTAGAATATCGCGATTGAGTGTTTGAGGGTCATGTGAAGGTGACTTTTCGGAAAATTTTGCCAGGGGGTCCCCTGTTTTGGAGCAGCTGACCCCAGGATTATGTGTTAGTGTTTTGTCACTCTCAGTACTCACGTTGGATGTTTGGGTTTTCTTTTTAGGCTTTGGGCTGCTCGGGAGGCTGTCCGGGTACAGTTTACGATGTTTATCCAGGTACTTGTACCGGCTTTTGAGTCTCTTCGAGTATTCTGTCTCAAATACTCTCGAAGTTGTGGCTGCCCTTCCGGGCTCGGTCATTGACCTGTTCCCTTAATCTGGGAAAAACTTACTCTGGCGAGGGATATACTTAGAAAAGAAAATTAAAATTTGACAGCTGTCACTTGGAATAAACACAAACGAACGTAGATTCGCTAGTAACCGTATCCTAGACGAGCTCTAGGTAAACTTACCACAATTTCAACATCGAATGATGACGTCACCGTGCAGTCTTCCGTCCGACCAGAGTTGATAGCTAGTCGGATTCGAGATTTGTCTATTCAGTGTAATGCTCGCTGCTGTGAGTTAGTTAGCAGCAGCGCCCAGTCCACGTCCTGTCGGTAGCTGAGGGGTGTCTCTATTGTCGTCTGTAAAGTTTTAAGTTTTGATGTAAACATCCATGGATTCTGTTTACACCATCATTTTGGTGGATTATCGATATATCGTCTTTAATGAATGATGGTATACTTTTTTCAAAGAAATTCTCGGACATTCTTAGTATAAATTCTTGAATAGGTTCCATGGATGTTTGCTCGTGCATGTCCGTTATTCTTGCATAGTAGTCGCACCCCAAAGCGAGCCGGAGACACTTGTTTTGGACTCTCTGTAGCCTTTTAAAATGAATGTTAGCCATAGAGCAGAAAACAGGACATCCATATGTAAGAATTGGCCTGATTACTTGCTTATATAGTAATAATTTGTTTTTTGTTGTGACACCGCTGTTTTTGTGCAACATAGGGTACAAGGTTTTAATTGCCCCTGTAGCCAGACCAATTCTTTTTGTAATATGTTCTGCGAACGTCAGTCTCCTATCTAGTATAAACCCTAGATATTTTAAACTGTTTTTAGTTTCTATTTCCTGCCCTTGAATTCTAATTTTTGTAATAATTCTATCTGAGAATTTCTTGGTTAGGATTAAGCTTTCCGTTTTCTCTGCGTTTATTTTTATTTTGTTACTTTCTAGATAGGGGACTACCGTTCGGTTTATATGTATGTCCAATCTTCTGCTCGCTATGTTGGCTGATGTGGAAGTTTTGTAAATACAAGTATCGTCCGCATACAGGGCCGTCTGTATGCTATCCTGACCCATTGGTATGTCATGAGTCATGATGGAATACAGATGCGGCGCAAGTACTGATCCTTGGGGTACTCCTGCCTGTGCTCTGTAAGGTCCTTGTGTAGTATTGTTGATTTTAATGTTAAATGTTCTGTTTTGTAAGTACGTTTGAATTATTTTTATAAGGGAAACAGGGTAATCATTCACAAACATCTTGTAAATCAACCCTTCGGTCCAGACTGTATCAAAAGCCTTCGCAGCTTTCAGCGCGACTAGCACTGTTTGTTTTTGCTCATTAAAGGCTTTTTTAGCGTGATGCGCAATTCTAACAATTTGCGCTATGGTGCTGTGTCCGGCTTTAAATCCAAACTGTTCCTTAGGGATGATTGGTTTGTCATGTTCGTGAGTCGTTATTCTGTTTAGTATAATTTTGTCAAGTATTTTGGCGATGCCATTTAAGAGAGAGATGGGGCGGTAGCTTTCTATTTCATTTTTATTTTTGCCAGCTTTATGAATAGGTATTATATTTGCTTTTTTTAAGTTTTCAGGATAATGTTGTAATTTTAATACTGAATTTATTAAGTAGTGTAGGTGTACCAGTGATTTTTTGGAGATGTTTTTTATAAGTTTATTATGGATGCCACCCGGGCCAGGTGCTCTCTTACTCGGGATCTTTTAATTGTATTATACACTTCCTGAGGGGAAGTTAGCATTTGAGGGGGTATATTTTGAATGGGGATGTATTGTATATCATCATAAATATTTTCAATTTGATTTTGCTGTTCATTATTAACCTGAGGATTTACGAAGTTACTTTGGAAATATTCTCCAAGCGCACTTCCTTTCTGCTCGTTTGTAATGTAAGTTGTATTGTTATGTTTATGTTTCAGTATGGGTAATTGTGAGTAGGGCTTTTTAAAGCATCTGACAATTTTCCATACTGAGTTGTCTTTCGTGTTGACCGCCCCTAGGGTTTTCTTCCAGTTTTGATTTCGAAATTCATGAATCATTTTATTTATTGTTTTAGCTATTTCAAGTAGAATAACCCTATCAGCGGCTTGTCGGTGTGTTTGCCATCGTCTACGTATGTGATTTTTCGTGCGTATTAACTCTACAATGTCTTGCGGTAGGTCTTCGTGATGTAGTTTTCGTTTTGTTTTCTTTGTCGATGCGTTTCTTGCTGTTAATATGGCATTTTGAAAATTGTCGAATTCGTTTTCTAGTGTTTGTATGTCTGTAATGTTCATGTTGATTGTGATGTTTGAGTCCAGGGTTCGTCTGTATTGTGTCCAGTCTGTAGTATTGTAGTCGTAGTACAAACCCTGTATTCCTAGGATGATTTTGGTGGATTTGATTATTAAGAATACAGGGTCGTGGTCCGAGTTTAGTGTTTTAATCGTCCTTGTGTTTTCGATGTTGGGTAAGTTTTTTGCTACCGCTATGTCTATTGTACTCGGTGTGTGATCTGCGCAGAAAGGGAAGTGCGTTGGATCATCGGGATAGTGTATTATATAGTCATTATCATCCGCAAATTTATCGAGAGTCCTACCATTTTTGTTGGGGATTGTGCAATTTGCGTCCCAGTGAGGGTGTTTACAATTTAGATCCCCGAGTAAAAGAACCCTGTTACCCGTGGCCATGATTTTGTGGAATTCTATGGGCGCAAAGTTGTTGGTTGGCTTGTTATATAGTCCTACTAGTGTAATTTCATTTATTTTGATTATAATATGTTCCTGTGAGATATTCAGGTTAGAAACCTGCTTAAATTCTATGTTAGATTTTATGATGAAAGCTACTCCACCCATGGTTGGTCTGGTCTGTCTTGTCGTATGACATCATACCCTTGTATTTTGATTTTGTCAGTTTGTTTGTAGTGTGTTTCCGTAAGGAGTATGATGTCGAATTGATGTTTGAGAATGAAACTGCGAACAAGTGCTGTTTTGTTGCGCATCCCATTTGCATTATAAAAACAAATTTTAAGTGTTTGTTTGTCTTTATTATTTAGTTCAGTTTCTTAAATTGAAATTAAAGTCAATGTTAGTCATGAAATCGTTGTAGGTTTCGAATAGTTGTTGTCCTGTTTTAAACTGTCTCATTTTTGCATTTAATTCTCTAACGGCTCTAGTCATTTCGCCGATGTTAATGATTTTATTATTATTAGTTCTATTAATTCGTTATTTAGGGTCGAGACATCGTTCATGATCTTACCTTCATTTTCCTGCCTTGGCCTCTCTGTTCTTATGTTTCTCTCTGGTTGGCTTGGAATTTGGCTCCTGCTTGGCAAAGCAGGGAATTCTTCTAGATTCCTTGTAAGTTGTCTCCTGTTTTCCCATCTGTTGAACGCAGGTGGAGGAGCAGGCACATATTTAGTTTGCTGCTGCACTGGTTTTCTCCTTTCTTCTAGCCTTTCTAGCCTATCCATATAGGCTTTGCACTTGGTATAATTCGCGGGGTGATCACCCCCGCAGTTTACACAGGTAGCCGGTGTTTCTCGAGTCTTTGTGCATGTGCGGGTATGGTGATCCCCCGCGCATTTAAGACATTTGGCTGGACGTCCACAGTTTGCGGTTGCATGCCCCCAACCTTGGCATGTATGACACTGTATAATCTGTTTTGCAGATTTTCTTATATCCCACACAACTCTTGTGTAGAGAACTCGCCGAGCATTCCTATTCAGGTAGTCCAGCGTAATCGCTGGGTCTGTAATCACTAGATATAGAGGACGATCTTTAGTTTTCATTTTGTAGATAGCTCTAGTTTTGATTTCGTACTGTTCCTCCATATCTAGTTCTATGTCTGCGATTTTCGTGCCCTCTGACAAGCCCCTCAACACAAAGGCGTGGGATTTATCCTCGTTATTTGTATACGTGTGGTATGGCATCTTGTCTAGTTTTATGTTGGCTAGAACTTTTTCGTGATCTTCCTTCTCATCAATAAATAGAACGGTTGTGTAGTTTGTATGCTTTATACTGAAACTACCTTTGGCAATAGCTTTAATGTCCTGTATTAGGTTTTTAGGGTTGGTGGTTTTCCCATCAATTACTATGGGTGGCATAGTAATTTTAGTTTTGACTTGTTTTACCTCCGTTGTTTTAGGCCTGGTGGTTTTGTCGTTTGGATTTGTTTGCTTGGCATCTGTATTATCGGTGTTAACACTAGATGTTCTTTCTACTGGTTTGGTGTTACTACTGGCTGCTTTCTTTCTTTTTTTTTTAACTATTTTTCCGATGTCATCATCTTCGATTTGATCGGTGTCAGACTCATCTGTTAGAGGCTCGAATCTATTTTTCGTCGGTGTTAATGATTTTTTTGTCTTTTCTCTGATAAGTCTTTGAAAGTTCGAGCTGAACCTTCTCGGATTAGTAAACGCTGTCTCGTTGTCTTTGGGGATCGGTTCGTCAACTTCCATGTTCTTTTCCGGAGTAATTGGTTCTCCCTCTTTTCTACGTGGGAAGAGACTATTTGGAGAATGTCGTATTTTCTCTGCTTTTGTCGGGACACTAGGTCTGCGTGAGCGTGTGTTTTCGTCTCCTGATGCCGCTGCATCTTCTCTGAAAATGTTTTCCGCGACTCTGTTTAAATTATTGTCTTTTTGAGTTGACAGTGCATATTCATACTCAGACCTAAAGCTACTCGGTCTGAGTATTATGTACACTGTCATTATCTTGCAATAAATCAACCTTAGGAAGTTCTTCCCCTGTGATTGTGTTTGATTCTATTTGATAGTCATTAGTTCTGAAATCAAGTAATGTGGTAACCACGTTTGAGGGTAGGGGGAGGGTTTTAAATTTTGGTTTTGCTCCTGTAGGGATAGTTGGGTTGGGGTTAGACCCCTTATCTACTTGAATGACGGAGTTTTCCGAGCTATTGTTCGTATTTTCATCCTGGCTGTCCATTGTGGCGTCGGATGAGTTATGAAACTCGAGATCATCCGAGTCCCCTTCTGTCAGAATTTTCTCAAGGTCCTCTTTGGATTGTGGAGGTGGGACAGTTTGTATAGCAACAGCTTTGTTGTCTTCTGCTGTTTCTAACACTTCAGGGTCGTTTGAAGGTCGTTCTTCAATTTTTTTTGCGAGCGGTTCCTTAGGTATTGGTTTATTGACCCCAGAGTTATTGTTAGTGTCCGTAAGAGGTATTGAATATCTACTTACGTTTAGTACTGGTAGTATCTTTACTTTGGCCTTTCTAATATTCTGAGGGGATTGGATTTTAGCGTATTTGCTCAGCTCTTTGTAATCAGGCCTACACCTGTCTTTCAGTCTTCGAGTGTATTGTGTTTCGAAGCCGACATTAGTAGTTATGTGGGCCCCTGTGGGCTCTGACATAAATCGCTTCCCTTATAGGGTCAGGGTACTTACACTGGCGTGAGATAAAACCTTAACAAAATAACAGAATTTTATTGACAGCTGTCAAAAACAAGATTACTAAAATATCCTTCAATTTGAATACAAACGCTCCTAGTCAAAGCACTAGGTAAACTTAACGGTCCGAAACAAACTGACACAGCATTTCACACCGATTAGATACTTAAGTAGTCTGGTCGGACGGCGGACTGAACGGTGAATCGGCCAGCGGTGCATCGAGCGCGAAATCACAGTTTGCCTAGAACTTTTCTAGGTGTAAGAGGCGTCTCCTCAACGTTTTGCAGTGTAGAGTGACTACTAAACCAAATTACGTACTTTTATTCAGTTATAGTTTTAAATTGCGCCAGTGTAAGTAGAAACCCTAAAACCGGGAGTTCCGGAGTAAATGACGGAGTCCTCCGGGCCACCTCAAACGGGATACGAGACATTGTATTCGCGACGAGTTCGTGATCGTATCGCAGCCTCCTCAAAACCGGCGAAAGTGAGCGTGAACATTAATGTTTCGAAGAAACATGCAGCCATCCTGAGTCCGAAGGTGTTTAAGGCCAAGCATATTCACCCTTATAAAACTGTGAGTACGAACAAACGAAAACTAACAACTACCACTAACGAGGGATCAGCAACACCACTCAGAAAAGACCCCCTGGCCAAAAATTTTACAAAAAAAAGTTCGGAGAATGAACTTTATCAAATGAGAGACACCCAAACTAATACTCAGACATCCGAACAGACTGCTGAGAGCGTAAGTAACAGCATAAGCCAAGCAGGAGCCGATCCTAACACAAATCGTTCCCAAAAAAGCTTGGAGAAAATTCAAGAAACTTTGGAGAAACCTCGTCCGAACCAAAAAAGCTTGGAGAATATTCTACAAACTTCGGAGAAAACTCGAAAAAGTTTGGAGAAAGCTTACGACGCCCTTACAGAGCCTGAAGACTCATATGATTCGATCGATAGAGACGAAAATTCAAGTGTAAAATCAAATAGTTCACTAGACGAAAGTCAAGAGAACACTGACTATGTGATCAGGTCCGACCCGAATGAAAGTTTGGAGAACCTAATAAACACTCTTGAGGACTCTTCGGACGGGCTTAAAAGCCCAGAAAATGGTAGTAAGACCGTTCTAGAGATGGACGAAGATAGTACAGGGGAAGGAACCCCGGACACGATCAAAAAATCCACCCATTTTTCGAATTCTGGAAAGTTTGTAGAAAATCTTGAAAATTTCAAATCGGCCTACAACACTCTACCACTGCCAAGCAAAGTTTATGCGAGAACACTAAACTTTCTCAATAATACCGAGTGATCCCCGAATCAAAATAGGCGTAATAGCATCAGATATACCCTAAACATATCTAAAAATATTATGGAATATAAAGCGGGAAATCATACATCTGAGGAAGAGAACAAAGAAACAAACCCACCCTGCCAGGACAATACGCCAGATGATCAATTACCACACTCACCCAACAGTGTGTTTCTGCTGCGAAAAAAAGGAGAAGTCTCCCCACCAGAAAAAATGGATACCCACCCCTCCAGTAGTAATGAACCACCCTTCAAAACACCGAAAAAATTTAGCTCAAATTTCTAGCTATTAATCAAAGAAAAATCTAAAAAGACATTGACGGCCACAAAGAATAGATTTCAACCCCTGACTGATGAATCAGAATCAGAGTATGAAGACGAAATCTCAAAAATCGTTAAGAGAAAACGAAAAATGGCCAAAAAAGGGGAAGATAACACAAGTACTAAACTAAATAGCGAAAACATAAAAGATATGAATGCAGACAAAACGAATGCAACAAAAAAAGCGTCCACAAAACCCATCCCTACCCAAAACACCCCTAAAAAGAAAAATGCAATGCCGCCAATAGTCATTGAGGGTAAAACGACTAATCAGAGCCAATTAATCAAAGATATTAAAGAGGTAGTCAAGGGCCAATTTAGCATAAAGCACACCAATGCTTCCACCATTCACTTTGTAGAAGAAGAAGACGACTACGAACGCATGGTCAACAATATCAAAGCCGAGAAGATGTCCTACCATACATACACCTCCTATGAGGACAAATCCCATGCGTCCGTATTACGAGGGCTAGCCGACGGAACCAAAATCTGTGATATTGACGAAGATCTTATCGAATAATTCGACATCAAAACTCGTTCTATCTTTAAGATGAACACTAAAAACAGACCGCTGTACCTGATTGTCACCGACCCCACGATGACACTGGATTATTTAAACAAAAACGTAAGAAGGATACTCCACTCACGAGTCACATGGGAACTACGAAAATCCGTAAAACAAATAATCCAGTGCCATAATTGTCAGCAGTGGGGTCACGCAACGGCAAACTGTGGTAGGCCTTCAAGGTGCGTAAAATGCGCAGGGGATCACCACACACGGACGTGTGTAAAAACAAGAGAAACGCCAGCGACGTGTGTTAATTGTGGGGGTGATAATAATAAATAATAAATAAATAAATAAATAATGTTTATTTCATAATAATTTACAAAATTGAAAAATAATATACATGAACAATTAGCTTTATAGATGGAAACCTAAGTATTTGAAATAAACAAAGCAACAGAACCCTAAGAACCCGGAGGTTGTGTAAAGGTTGTCAATTTGAATATAACAGTGAAGCATTCAGATTATTAATTTTGTTTTACTCACACTAATACAGCTAAATGAAAAGTATGTTTATATAAAATAATGTAATAGATTTTTTAATTTTTTTTTAAATATATATCAAATGTATAGACCATATAAATAAGGGATTTTTTTTTTAATTTTTTTATTTAATTAAAAAGTTCATATATCAGGGATCTTTCGTTCAATAGATAGTTTTTAAAATATTTTTTAATCATGCTCAGATTATTTAAGTTGTATATATACAATTTGTAAATATCAGGTAAGTTATTCATTATTTTACCTGATAGATAAGAAAAACTTCTCTGACCAATTGATTTTTTTGAGTATTCGACTAAAACACAATTTCTACTTTTTAATCTAGTATTATATTCGTGGGATATATTACTTAATATAGATTTATTTTTATAAATGAATATAATTGTACTGAACACAAACAATTGCCTAACATTAAATAATTTACTTTCAATAAATAATAGATCAGTAGGATATAATACAGGTTTATTGTAAATAATTTTAATAAATCTCTTCTGCAACACTTCGAGTGGTTTAAGATGAGCAGCTCCCCCAACATATAATGCAGTAATTTATACGTGACTCCACTAAAGAATAATATAGGATTCTTAATTGGTTGACAGTGAGTATGTTTCTTAAATACCTAAATTTAAACAATAATATTCTTAAGGTTTTCATAACTTGTTCAATATGATAGTTCCACCGCAGGTGTGAATCTATCGTGATACCCAAATATTTTACAGAATTTGAAGAATTTATAATTAAATTACCGTCTGGTGTTTGTATGGTTAAAGAATTATACACGGGTAAATTATTTTCATAACTTGTGAAGGGAATAAAGAAGGTTTTGTCAAAATTAATTGTAAGTAAATGGTGATTAAACCAATATTGTATTTTTAGCATATCTCTTTCGACAAGATCCTTAAGCCCATCCCAAGTATCAGAAGACCATATAATGGCCGTATCATCTGCAAAACAATATATCTTTCCATTAATATCCTGTTGTAATAGATCATTAATGTAAAGCAAAAAGTATAGAGGACCTAATACAGTTCCTTGTGGCACACCTATAACTAAATTTTTTTCATTACTTATTTTATCCTTAATTTTTACGACCTGTCTACGATTTCCTAAATAACTGTTAATTAAATCAAGTGCTGTACCTCTTACTCCTGTTCTCTCAAAAGCTTCCGACAACTGGTAATGATTTACCGTGTCGAAAGCCTTTGCAAGGTCCAGAAATACACATAATGTTGGGATTTTTTTATCTATGCATGAATACAGTTCTTTAACCACGGTAGCTGTTGCATTTTCTGTTGACACACCTTCGCGAAACCCAAATTGTCGGTTTGAAATGATATTGTTTTTTTCAAAGTACAAGTAGAGACGGGTATGGAGACTTTTTTCAAAGATTTTTGATAATGTACTTATGAGGGATATTGGTCTATAATTACTAACATTATCTCTTTCTCCCTTCTTAAAAACAGGGATTACTACTGCTTTTTTAAATTCATCGGGGAAGATTCCTGTTGTAAATATATTGTTTATAAGATGAACTAACAAAGGAGATATTTCTTTCGAAATGCTTTTTATAGTCTCACTTTTAATAGTATCTATACCTGGAGTCTTGCCACTTTTTAAGTTATGTATGATACTAAGAACTTCCTTGTTGTCTATTGGTGAAAGAAAGAATGAATGTAATTTATTTTCAGTTTCAGGTTTATTCGTAGGGGGTTCTTTGATAGATTCAGCTAATTTGATACCTATACCAGAAAAATAAGAATTAAAATAATTTGCAATTTCTAAGTGATCAGTAATTAATTCATTCTCAGCATTACATATTTTATCTATTAATTGATTATTTATATTTGAACCTGTCAAAGTTTGAACTGTTTTCCATAATTGTTTTGAATTGTTACTATTAGCATTTATCTCATTTTGGTAATACTTTTTCTTTACTTCAATTATTTTTCTGTTTAATTTATTTCTAAAACGTGTATATTTTAATTTTTTGTTAATGTTTGTTGGATCCTCTTTGTACATACTATAAAGTGACCGTTTTTCTCCTATTAGCTTTACAATACTATCGCATATCCAATTTTTACGCGGTTTTTCTTTTTTCTTAACTTTTAATTTCGTTGTATTTTTTTCAACGAGTTGAATTAATTTATTTACTAGTATCTCAGTAAGTGTATTAGGGTTAGAGGATTTATAGTAATCATTCCAATTAAGCAAAGCGAAATCTTGACATAATGTTTTATAATTTGTATAAGATTGGTAACAATAAGGATCATTTTTGACAGGTTTAATATCAATTGGTACGCCTGTTATTTCAGCTTTGTGATTATTTATTGCAGTGGCATAAGTTAGGGCTATAAATTTATCTTGATTAAAATGTTTAGATTTAACAAAAATGTGATCAATACAGCTTGATGATTCTGCTTGAGTATGGGTTACTGAGTTTATTAGCGATATAAAGTTATGTTCACTTAAAATATCTAAATATTTACTTGTACTTTCGCATACACTTCCATCTAAAATATTTAAGTTAATATCACCAACTAAATAGTGATACTCCACTAAACGATTATTTTGGGTTTGTTGCAGGTAATCTTCTAAAGCTGAAACAAATTCCTCTTTATCACTATTTGGAGATCTATATAGCGCTGTTATAATTATAGGATTATTTTTATCTATATTTAGAATTAATTGGATAACTTTACAGTTTGCTATGAATATAAAATTAGACTTATATTTAATTGTATTTTTTACATAAACCACCACCCCATCGTTTTTATTATATTCTCCTTCATTGTATACTATATTATAGTTATTCATGTAGTGACAATTTATATCATGTATTTTAAATGTTTCTGTTAGTACAATTACATCAAATATATAATTTATATCTATTAGATTTATTTTTAATTCGTTTATATTTTTATTTAAACTTTGTATGTTTTGATGAAATATTGTAAAGTATGAATTGTGTTTCAATACATTTAACTGTTGTTTAACATCCCTAATATTGTTACAACTGATGGTATTTACTGTAGTATAATTCACATCCCTTATATATTGATCCATAAGAAATATAAATACAATAACAAGCTAAGTAAAAAATGAAAGGACAAACTATAATTAGTAAATATATTTAAATGGTAATAAAGTAGTAAATTTATAATTTTTGAAGTTTATGTTTACGTAGTTTTTGGATGTATGCAGGTGGACTTAGTGTCTTTCTTTTTTTGTCTTTATTTAATTCTAATGTTTCTTTCTCTGTGTTTTGTTGTGAACTTTGTTCAATTTTATTTTCTTCTTCTTCTTCCAAGGTATCTTCCCCTTCAGTAACTGCTTTACTTTCGTCTTCCGACTCCTCAGAATCAGACACAATATCTTCCAGTTCCTCTGCTTTATACCATTTATTATCTATTTGTAGCTGATGTCCTCTAATTCGAGATGGAAGACTATTTTGCTTGGCCAATTTATAATGTTTGACGAGGATTTTATGTCTTTCTCTATCTGAATCACAGAGATCATTCGTAATTGTTATTTTCACTCTTTGTGATTGTAATTTCTTAATATTCTCAAACACAGTTAGCTTCTTCAGAAAAGAAATAAATTCAATTATTAAGGGA